GTTTTAAAGGCATAATTCAATATTATGTTTTAAGCTCATTTAAAACTTAATTAAAATTACATTTTTTATTTATTAAATGAACCTCATACAAAAATTGTGAAAGCTGCAAGAAATGTCTGTTGTTTTTTTATATATTTGTTATTAGCCTTTTATCTGATGCTGATACTTGTTGGACAAAGTCATGCTTTTATCTTCATTGTAATTAGCTTTATCTGGAAGGCATTGCCCAGAGGAACCAATGGCAAATTGAGGCCAGGTGTTGAAGATTCAGGATTTGATGTTATCATCCATCAAAACACATTTCAAACACGTAGTACAAGCAACACAGAAATTACATGGAAAATTCACGCACAGAGTTCAGATAAGTAAATAGTCAAAAATGGCCTCATTACATCTCCCAATGGCCAGTGCAGTTGATTGAGCATTGTCATATAGTTTCCAGATGCTACTGTTCAAAAAGTTAGAAGGTTTTGTCAATGATGCTGCATTTTTACATTTGTTCCAAAAGTAAGAAATGAACTCGAACGTTCCGGTTTCTCAATCAAGTATTAGAGACACACGCACACACACACACACACACACACAAAAACTCCTCCTATTGGATTTCTGCAACTCCAATAATCTGGTTATGTTTATCTGTTTCTTGCCAGGCAGGATGTATCAATGTGTACGAAATGGCAGGCGACTCCGAGGATACAAGCTTTTGCTTTTCTTACTGGCTTGTCTCAGGAAATCGGCCTTATCAGTCTTGCCCAAGCTGCTACACAGCAGAATAATTTTACAGCTGGCTGAGAAAGCCTTGGCGACCCTGGATCGTGTGCTGTGCAGGCAAAATTCAACCTTGGTGTCCCTTATCAAATTAGAACTGCCTTTTGTTTACCACCGGCTGACAGAAAGCTATATTTGTGATGGGCCTTTTTCTCTGGGTGAGGCCAAGTGGCAGCAGAGACACTGATGGATAATTTATGATTTATGTATATGTGGGCAAACGCACCGCTATTTGTACAGTGCTGACATGAAACCAGGCTCTAGAGACCATGAGCATATGTTTGATAAATAAAGTATGTTATACTAAAGGTATGAGCGCTGTGTGGAGGTCATGTTGTAAATTTAAAATGTAATTATGATGCTGGTGATTTTTTGATCACTGACAGATCAACAGATCATTCTGATAATGTGCAGACGTGTATCAGTCTTGTATGAGCTGCCTGTCTGCCTGTCTGTCTGTCTATCTATCTGCATGTCTGCCTGTCTGTCTGTCTGTCTATCTGTCTGTCTGTCTATCTATCTAT